TTTTAAAAACCTAAATAAGGGTTTTTCCCTCTTGTTTTCTCTTTGTTAGGATAATACTACAGAAAATGGGCTCCGCAGAAGGTGACTCCCTTGCAAACCAAAAAAGAGAAATACAAGTATTTTTATTTAACTGTCCAGCACAGAGCTGCCAACCATGGAGAATAAGAACAACCGGTGGTGTAGGAAGAAACCTAAAATAAAGCTCAGGCGCCTCATCCACCGACGTCCATCAGAACAGTGCTGCAGCTCATAGACAGCATCATCCCACAGGGCATACAAAAGCACATCTCTTCAGATCGTCGCCATTGCTGTGCATAATATTACATACTGTGGACATAATACAAATAAATAACTTAAGTGACACACTTTTGCTGAAATTTGTTTTGCTGCTTTTAACTGACAAGATTGTTTTCCTATAGGTCTACCTTAGAATCTAAAGTATCTACTGCAATATTGTTGCCGTTTTCTTCCTACTGGATGAGGTTAAGGGACAGATCATACCCGCTGTCCTAACTGCCTTGATGCCCGAGGACACACCAGGGCTAAGTGCAGCAGAGGATAACTACAAGGAAGAAAGCCGGTAAAGAGAGCAGATGAACTTATTTAGCACATAGAAGAGAACATGAGACTGTGGAGATATGATAGATAGTACACTCTTACCTTTACAATTAAAATACATTAATGGTTGAATTCATTCTTTATTTGATTTACTGAGGTCATTACCATTATTTACAAAATGAAATACAGAAATCATTTGTGGAATGATGGGATGGCTGCGGGTCCTTCCTTAAACAGCCTTAAATGGACAGAAATTATTAAAATGCATAACATTAGATCCTGTTAAATATTTGTAATGTATATGTTAAGCTGCAGGGAGTCCCTGGTGGTGCTACTGGACCTGGATGGGCTGCCACAATAAAACCCTGGTGTCTTCTGTAAGTGGGACATCCTCCAGACTGGTTTGGAGAAAGAAGGAAAATATAAAATGTTATAAACCATAGATAAATATTACGTTTTCAGAGAGTAGGCCTAGACTGTTCCCTCTATTCAACACACTTTAGTTGAGCGATTACAAACTCATTAAACAATTTTACAGTAAGGTGTTATTTATTGCAAATATTTAATTATATTAAATAACTAGCCATATAAACTATAGGAGTTACCGAGCTGATGTAGTCACGTAGTGCTGGTGGGCAAAAAGCAGGCAGCAGCAACTACAATATTATTTAAAATGATTACTAGTACCCAAGCAAATATAGGATCAGCAACCTAACCACAGAGCAAACGTATGTGGTACTATACCGTGTACGCAAACATGGTATGGGTAGCATTGCAATATATCATTACCCAGATTTTCTCTTTTAAAATACACAATAAACAACGTGATGTTACAGTATGCCGGTGCATTTACTAGCTTGTTTTATTACCTGCAGACTATTGACAGCATTGTTTTTTCTTCACTCGTTCTGGTTAACTGATGAACAGTTTAAATAACAGACACACTACTTGCCTGCTGTTACTACAGACCTTTGTTTTAAAGATACTCGTCTCATTAATTGACTCACGGCAGTGCTCTTTTGCAATTACCAGCAGGGCGCCATATAATTTACCAGACAATACTGAAATGTGTTATATAAAAAACATATATATAATCCTGTTGGCCTGCTGGATGGACGATCGCAGGAGAAACTCTAGTCCTTGTTTTTGAGGAAGCTGTCCAGTAATGAATTTAACGATGTCATCACGTTTAAATTAGTAACATAAAGAGTATAACAGGAGTTTATATAAACGGAGTTTATCAGGTATTTTCTATCGATATTTGTAGTATCTAAACTCATAATGAAGAAATTCTGCTTTGCTACTGCTGTATTCAGGGGCGCCGCCAGGGATTTTGGGCCCCATGAAAATATATCACATTGGGCCCCACCACCAGGCACAGGCCACTTTGTTTATAAATTACCTCGAGGGCCGTACCAAATGGTCTAGCGGTCCGTATACGGCCCGGGGGCCGGAGGTTCCCCACCCCTGCTTTAATATAATAACATTAGTATTAATATCATAACCAAAATGTCGGTGATTAACATTTTGTTTACCTAATACAGACTGATCACTCAATGCTTCAAACTGTCCATCATCCTAAATAGACTAAAAGCAGTTTTTTGTTTATATAGATCATTGGCTGTGTGGGAAAATACTGTGTTTGAAATGTATAATTTAAATTAGATGTTAGCTTTTTGTTATATATATATATTTTGTATTCCAGTCTCCCTTCAGATATGTTAAGTGGCATGTCATTCAACACAATGCTGCTCACCTCCTTCAGTTGGGAGAAAAGCTGGTTCAGGTTCAGCCTTACAGGGCTGCTGAGCCTAAAGATGGATCTGTTGGACCTGGCACCAGGAGGAGGGACAACTGATTTAGTATGAATAGGCGCTAAAAATGTGCCTACATTTATTAAAGGTAGGTAGGTAAGAATGGAGAAACCAGCTTGAGTGCACTAGAATTTGAAAGTACACAACCGAAAAAAATCTGCCCCTTCCTTCAGAGTTCCTTACAGAGCCCCTCCTCCAACACACACGAACGCGCACATGACCAATGAGGGCACGAGGTAAGTTTGTGCACAGATGGAAGGCTGACAGGCAGGTAGGCCATCCAGTTATTTTAGCCGGGCCGGCTCAGATGATTGGTCGTGCTTTTTACAGCGCCACAGCTTCCACAGATGACATTTTTGTATGTATTTGTTGTCAAAGCATTTAATATATTCATTGCTATCGGGATGTTAAGAGCATTCCATGGAATATAACAAAAAGTGTTTCTGAAGTGAATTACCTACCATACCTTTAAATGTCAGCTAAAAGAGCAGTGAAATGAAAGACCTCTGAATTTTCTGTAAAGATATTATCAGTAGCCTACTTAATGTCAGCTTAGTAAACAAAAAAACATTAGCTAACAGACTAATTTCCACCACTCATGGACCACACCCACCTTTTCTTGTGAAAAACTGGGTGACATACTGTCGCCCTTTAGTCCCTCTCTCTTGTCTTTCTCTCCTTTCTCTTCTTTTCTTAGAGCCTGACTTTGTTGGTCGTTGAAACATGGTACAACACACGTATGTAGGCTAAGTACTAGCATCCCTCAGTCCTCACATGCTTTCACTCTCTGCAAGTGCCGGTGCCGCACCGCGTTTGGAGGCAGGACCAAACCATTAAAGGGGGTGTACAGAGGCTTTGGGTAATTCACTTTTGGAAGAAAATAAGTTAAATGAATCGTAAGTTTAGTGAGTACTTTATCAATATAACGTTCTATTAATGTTAATTATTGAGGATTGATGAAAGGTTTCCTACATTTATTTTTCTTAATGTTCTAAACATTTTGGGGCCCCCGTCAGTCACGGGCCCTTAGAATCGTTTTTTTCACCCCCTTACGGCGCCCCTGACTGTATTCAGTCTGATCAGAAGAATGTTGCTTTTGCCCACCAGCCTCTGCGTTCGAACGTTTGTTTACAAACATCGGTTACTCCTATATTTACTTACTGTTAAATAACGAATGCTAACATAACTGTTGGCTAGAAGTACGCAGCTTAATCAACCATAGCCATTGTCCTCTCAGCCTGAAATATCAATCACTTCAATAAATGATAAAACAAAAAAAGGAAAGGTTCTGGCTCAATTTCGGCTTAGTTAGCTTGTTAGCTTATTGCAGCTGTGCATGTTGCTAGCGGGTAACTTGCTAGGCCACCTCAAGCTGCGCCAGGTGATGTACACAAGAAAACCTCGATAGACCAGACCTTCTCAGTTTGTAGACCGCACGGCCCGGGCTGTTTGATCAATTTGAGTTAAAGGGCTAATTTGATCAGTAAAACAGCTAAACTTTAGGCCGTGTGCGCGGCCGCGGTTACACATGCATATGTCTGTTTGTTTACAGTATGTGTACTTGAGTTCTGGGGATATGTTCTCCAGCCACCCAGAGAGAGAGAGAGAGAGAGAGAGAGAGAGAGATTTGCTGAGGTAGGAGGAGCCCGATCTCTCCCAAGCGGTTCAGAACCCACTCTCAATGCATTATTTATATCACCACGGAGATGGGGGTGTTACTTAGGGGATGGGCTGCATCAGCCAATCAAAGGGTGGCCTGAGCCATACATTGCAAATGCACTATTGAACCTGCCCAGTATGGAGCCCTGAGGCATGAGGCATGCCTTTAGGGCTTGAGAACAATCTAATGGTATGGCTTCAAAGGGCAAGAAATGGATGCATGCCCTTACTAATGCCATAATGGATGGCATGACAATTCAAATTCAAATTCAAAACCTTTATTTATCCAGGTAAAATCCCATTGAGATCAATGATCTCTTTTTCAAGGGAGATCTGCAGCAGTAGGTTCCACAAGAAGACATAAACAACAGAACAACAAAAGGACATCATACAGCAAAATGTACAGGGATTACAATTTACATATTTAACCACAAGTACAGGTACCAACAGCATCTGATTTTGTAGCATCCAACCGAGCTTTAAAAACATGTAGTGGTACTAGCTTGGTAATTTTCCATTCTTTTTGCAGACTGTTCCATGTTAGTGGAGCTGCACATCTAAAAGCTTTCTTCCCTAAGACAGTCCTAGCACTTGGCACATTTAATAAAACCACAGCATGCGATCTCAGGCAATAAGTACTTTCAATTCGCAGAGAGATCAGGGAGCAGATATAAGATGGTAGTTTATCCAACATGGCTTTGTAAATGAAAAAGTACCAGTGACTGAGCCTCCGTACAGTAAGTGATGGCATAACCGCCTTGGTATACAGGGTACAGTGATGCGTAAGTGCTTTACAATTTGTCAAAAATCTCAGTGCACTGTGATACGCAGCATCTAACTTGCTCAGGTAATTGGCAGGTGCATTCATATATAACAAATCACCATAATCCAGCACAGGTAAAAAGGTCACAGTGACTAGCCTTTTCCTGGCCTCAAGCGAGAAACAGGACTTGTTCCTGTAGAAGAAACCTAGCCTAACCCTCAGCTTTTTAAGCAGGTTATTGACATGAAGTTTAAAAGTGAGACAGTCATCAAGCCAGATACCCAAGTATTTGTAACAGGTAACCACTTCAAGTTGTATTTCTTGCGTAGTTACAATATCCAAAGCAGTCTCTGGTGTATTTTTAGCTTTAGCTTTAGAAAAGAGCATTACCTTGGTTTTATCCACATTTAAAAGAAGCTTAAGCTCAGAGAGCTGAGCCTGAATAATGTTAAAAACAGCCTGTAATTTAACAACAGCCTCGTTAATCGAGGGACCTGCACAGTACATAACGGTATCGTCCGCATAAAAATGTAAGGTTGCTCCTTCGACATTTTCACCTAAACTATTAATATAGATAGAGAATAATAGCGGACCTAAAACTGAACCTTGTGGTACACCATTAGTGATGTTTAACCACTCAGAAGACAGCCCATCAAACTGAACACATTGGGATCTTTCAGAGAGGTAGTTTACAAACCACCCTACTGCATGGCTGGACATGCCTATACTGACCAGCCTTTGCTTCAAAATGCGATGATCGACAGTATCAAAAGCTTTGGATAGGTCAACAAATAGAGCTGCACAACTCTGCTTATTATCTAAAATACTCGTAATATCATTTACCACTTTCATTGTGGCAGTGATGGTGCTATGTTGCTTTCTGAAGCATGAACAATCCAGATACAAACATTACATTTTACATTACATGTTACTTGTTAGACGCTTTTATCCAAAGCGACTTACATGCTCAATACTGTGGACAATCCCCACAGGAGCAATTTGGGGTGAAGTGTCTTGCCCAGGGACACAACGACATGCTGACTGCAGTGGGGTTTGAACCTGATCCCAACACCAAGGCTTTATCCACTGCGCCACACGCCTCCCCGAAACAGTTGCTTTATGATTAATAATCATCATGCAACGCTATACATTGACCCAAAATAGGGACATTAGTCACCTATTATAACGAGAAAACCACACACCACGTGGCCACCAGCTCACTTACAGGAATAACAACATCTTATATAATGTGGAGTAGTTGTTGGATTCTAAGGGTTATTAGCTCCATAAATAAGTCATATTTTTGTCTGTGCAAATATAGATATTGTGACATTGTTTATCTGAAGTTTCTTGGATGCTTGAATTAATTAGAGTGAAAAACAGAGTATGACTGCCTGACAACATAAAGTGCTCGATCAATAGGGTTACATGCAGTTTGCTGTTCCACAGTTTATGTTTGCATTGATCATTCACATTTTTACCTCCAAATTGTAAGACTATTAAAATAATAAATATAAGACTGATGTTAACGAGAAGGACAACATGATGGAAACTTCAGGCAGATATAATCTAAATGAGGGGGAGGAAATGTGGAGGTGCTGCCTGAGTGCACAGAGACACTAAGCCTCTGCATGGTGGGACTGTTATGTAATAGCTTGGCTAGCTGAGGTGTATGCCTTTAAAAGTACCCATGTGGGCTTGAGGTCATGCAGAGATATGAGCTGTTGATTCAGCATATGGTCATACTGCACACAAACAAAAGTACACAACGTCCATGAACCAAACTAGGAACTGGCATTTAAGTGAAGCAGAAGGACACACTCAAAGACACACACTCTTTCTCACACTTACACACATGAACTGAATGGGAGGGTCATTTGATCACAGTGTTTTTAAGGACATGGGCTTTATTCTTGGAAAGCAACTTAAGACCAGTCAGGTGGACCCTCCTCATCCTTCCTTTTCTATATTTAAAAAAAACCCTCATGTCAAAGTTTTACTATTAGAGATTATTCTTAGTAACAATTTACAGTACACTTATTTTCTTTGCCTCTCTCTATAAAGTCAATCCCATAATTTCCCTTAGTTCCACTTTTCTTTATAGCTCTTATTTAGCTCTGCTTAGCTCAGCATTTTTCTGCAACTACTCCAGTGGAACATGGGAAAACCAGGACAAATTCCCTGCCACTCTTTTTATGCAGTCGTTGCATTTAAGTGCAGTTTTCTACATTTAGACAACAGGTACAGTGATGCTTTTCTATCTTTTATGAGTGTATAGGTAATAGGGCTGATAATAAGATTGGCACAATACAAATGAAAAAACCAACATAAAATGATTATAAGACAAAATACTGTTATTTTAATTGTGTTACCCAAGTCCAGCTGCCGTTGAGGCTGTCCTCCTCACTGTGGCTGCTGAAGTCTTGCTCTTCCATGTGGGCCATGGCTCCATGTCTTGACTGATGCAGATTGCTGTTTGAAGATCCTACTTCTAATTCTGGTTAAAATCTCTTTAAATGACGGGAAAGCTCTGCTCTTCCTGGACGAGTCCCCTGACTTAAGACTTCAATCTGTCAATCTGAGTAGTTGATGCTTATGCAACGTGCAGTGAGTGTTTTAGACTAAAATTATCAACAAGTGGTTTCTTGGAATGGAATACTTGGAGGAAATCTGAGAGGGTCAGGAGCTGCTGGACTATACTACTGCTACTGGTGCACACACACACACACACGCACACGCACGCACCCCCCCCACACACAAACATGATGGATTTGTGGAAATTGAAAACATATGACAACGGCATGCTGCATATTTGTTCAATCTGTTTATGTTTTTATCTTGTAAAATAAACGTTTTTATTTTTAACCAAAGAGTTCAACCAAATCACTGTTTTTCGCACTCAGGGATCATCTCGGTTCAGCAGTGAGGTCTATGATTAAAGGACTTTGGTTCTATTTGCAGCCTCAAATCAGGGACAATATCGTTTTTGTGCACTTTAGACAGTTTTTCTATTGTGTATCTTGAAGCTTGTCTGGCAACTGCACTTGGCGGTTATCCTGCAAATAAAGTATTAATTGGAGGACACATCAATGTTGTTTCCGTCCTGTTTTTAATTTAAGTGACAATGACTAATTGGTCCAATCCACCCATGGTCTTCGGGCTGCAAAACCTCAAGTCCAAAAAGTATTATTAGTAGAATAGTGACTCTTTGTCTCTTTATCAGGAAATTCAGAGTGATTTGTTAAGGTCTGTTTAATTCTTTGTTAAAAACGTACAAAAACACACATGGAAGATATCTAAAATTCTGTACATTTATACAATTAAAAGCATATAAAACTGTTCATTGTTTTTGTTTCTTCAACAATTACATCAATATACAATCTATGAAGAAAAAGGCATAACCAATGTTTTACATTCAAACAAAACCTTACTTATTGTACACACAGTGAATAAGTACTTTTTTTTTTACATAATACAAACTGACAAAATATACTGGTTCATATGAAAAAACATACATGCAAAACAAACCTCTACAAAAAGGAGCCAATAAAAAAGATTGTGGCCAAAAATCGGCTACCATTGCACACAAATGATTGTGTCTACCCTTTTCAAAACTTCTCATATTGTGTGCAGGTGCAAAGAAGTGTGCAGAACTCGATAGAATACAATACAAACTTAAATGCAGATAAACCTGCAAACACATACAAAGAAAGACAAAAGCAGTACCTGCAATTACTGAGATTATTTGGTTCTTTAACCCTTGTATCACCAAATTACTCAAATTCTAGTAGATCATAAATATGAATCTTTTCAGGTTACAATGAAAGTGATTAATGGGGTGTTGAATAAACCACACTAACTTCAACAAAACCATATCAATAATAGAAAAAGCTTCCTTAAATATCCTGAACGTTTACTGAACATCACTTGCAAACTCATGGGATAATCATGAGTCAATAAAACCACACAACAGATACATTTTGAAAAATATATTCCTCGTTTCCTTGGCCAAAACATTGTATTGTCCATTCAGAACGTATGTTAGTGCATGTCTTCATTTTCTTTGATTTCAATCCTGACAGTGACTCTGTGGAGCCCAGTGAACACATGTGTTGAAGTCATATATGTTTTCCTGTCAGGAAGAAGAGCGGACGGTCTTCCTTTGCGTTGGCAGTCTGAAATTCATCGCTGAGCCTGAACCTCCACTCCTCCTCCAGCTCCAGCCTGCCCACCGTCTGCCTCAAAGAGCTGCGGTCTGCACTGATGACACACAGGGTCGCTCCTACAGGAAGGGAGGGCGATTACAACTTTTATATGATACAAAAATAATCACATATTCTGACTTTATTTATTAGGCGGAAGGTTACAGTGTTCCTTAGCTGGATTGAAAGCATCTATTGCAGTATGCTTCTTCGTCACTTGGTTTTTTGGGACGTTAATGCTACATGTAGCACATTTAGGCATTCAGAATGAGATTTAAGACTTAAAAGTCCCTTATTACACTGTTTTTCATCAATATATTATAGGTCTCAGATATATACAAAACATGTATCTGAAGTGTTTGGCTCCAAATACCACACAGATCACTGCAGCATTACCCATAATCCCCTCTGTTTCAGCCCTGTTTCAAAAGTGCTGATTCTCTGTCTGTTACTTTAGATGAAAATAAGGAGCCCCTCCCCACGCCCCTCTGAGAGATATTTGGTTTAAAATAACACAACGGTGCTCTAGGAGGAGATTCAGGTGATAAGGTGGGGGGTGGGGGTTACCTTGGTTGCTGATTGGCTAATGGTTACACAAGCCAAAGAAAATCGTTATGACATCATAAAGTGGTCAAAATCTGATCAGCTCATTTTCAGACATGTTTTTATATAAATGGATCAGGACAAAAATAATCTCTTTACGCAGAGGGGACACATATTTATGCATAAAAAACATGACAAAGTGGAGTTTGCATAATAGGTGACCTTTAATGTGTAGCTTGTTCTGTACAGTATTGTTGCTCAAAAATTCTACATTGCAACCACAAACTGGCATATTTTCAACAGGGTCTGTATTTGGTCTTCCTTTGTACCTTTGAGAAAGGAGAACTTCTTGAGGAACCCAGCAGTCACAAAGGAGTCAGCAAAACAGAGCAGGAGGCCACTGAACAGCAGCCCTGTGGAGCTGATGTTCACAGAGTGAGGTCTGGAACTCACAAAACACACCGTCACCTGCAGGAGGAGAGAAGAAAGTGACTTTAATACACTGTGGGGGGAATTCACAAACAATTGCACGGCGTACGCTAGAGCTGTGCAAATAGGACACTAAGTAACCATGTCATTCTCAGAAGGGGAAAAATCTGCAAGAATGAAAACAGAATCAAAAATGTTTCTACTACTTAAATGAATCACATCATTTTTTACCCTCCCTCTGCGAAATTAGGAAAATGCACTAAAATCCAAAAACTATTATAGTGTGTTTTGCGATGAAACACGGGTATGTGAACTTTTACTTGTGTTCAGAGGTTAATAGCTTATCACAACAAAGAGCATGTGTGTGTGTGTATACCTCAGGTCCAAGGTTGAGAAAGCAGTCCACAGACAGCACAGGGTGTGTGTAGTTCTTTGTGCTGTGTGGAAACAGCTTCTGGCTGGTGTGTTGAAGGTATTTCTCCAGGAGGAGCTGAGCAGGTGTGGCCAAGAAAAGGTGCTTGCTGTCTGGGGCACAGATGTACTGCGAGGGCCCGACTGAGGTGGGAACGTCTGTCGTCTGGAGAAATAGAAATTAAACATTTAATACTTCTTTGTTGCCATAAAATATTTGTAACAAAGGTATTCACTTTAACTGTTGCATGCACACACACATTCACAGTTATAGTGATAACTAGTCACACATGTATTAGTTAGCCGACATACTATTACATGTCTTTGAAGCCTTGAGCCAAAACAAGTCCAATATGTATTCTACTGCTTACATTTGACTTGATATGATAAATTATTTGAAAACATTGTTCTTGTATACTGGAAAATTATACAGTATATGTTACTTTATTTACAAGTAAATAAATGAAATTGTTCTTCAAACTTTTTTCTTTATTCTGCCCTGAGAATGATAATAATAATAATAATTCATTACATTTTTATTAGAGCGCTTTACAATTACACATATTAGACATGTAACAGTTATTACTGTGGACAATACACACAGGAGCAAATGATGATAATGTATGTTGAGTTGTTATGTGTCCTAAGCATCTACCTTGGTCTTGATAATAAACGTTCTGTATCCTCCGATGGCGATCTGCTTCTTCATGACGCTGAAGGCGTTGAACCGGCAGACGAGCAGGCCGGCGCTGTGCAGCCTCAGCGTGAAGTCCACATCGTGACAGGTGAAGCGGTTCTGGTCGTACTGGACGTTCTGGCTCCGGTCGACATTGAGGAGAAGGAAGTCATGAAGGTGACCTCTTGAGAAGGGCTCCCTCAGTTTGTTATCTGGATAAGAACAAATAAATGCGCATTTATATTAGTCATAAAGCAGAGATGTTTGCTTTGAAGTCTACTTTATCATCTTTGTGATTCATAGCTAAAACATTCAGACATAACTTTGAAATCTCTTTAGCTGTATGATCGTCAGCCTCTATGCTTTACATCTTGAGGATCTGTGTGGCTGGTTATTTAAGGCACAATGGGGTTTTGTTAGATCTGAGATATTGCTTGACATAGAGAAGTTGTGCTTTAAAATAATATCAGTTCAATCTTTCAGGACAACAAGTTAACACAGAATAGTTGAAGACATAACAATCTGTATCTGCAGTTGAGATCTGAGGCATTTACAGCAAGAAGAATCCGCCCTAAATCCTTTAAGGCATCTTGAGGAACATGCAGTGACTCAAATATTTGTTATGTTATGATCTTAAAGTCTGTACTTTTGGAGTAACTTTTGCTTTCCCGGGGACACCAGATAGCAATGAGACTTTCTGGCTGACTCATAAAGTTATTAACATGCTATGTCAAAAGTAACTCAAACTAATCTCGGCATGATTCATTTTCAAGTATTCAGTTGCAGTCAAATACAACGGCCTTTCAATAGTTACTACATTAGTTCATCTTATGATGCTACATTATGTGTGTAGGATTACTCATATATGTTCAGTTCATTTGTATTTGCCAAGACTGAAATGCTCTCAAATCCAATCTTGGGTTTTTGTGTTTCTGGATTTCTGATATGGTGACCCCTGACCTGTGAGTCCGCGGCTGCTCCACTTCCTGACCCCACACAGTCCGTAGTGTGCCAGGTCCGGACAGGCCTCCATGTGCTGTAAGATGTGCTTCAGTGACACAGCGTGCTCCACTGCTCCACTAATAACAGCAGAAAGGAAACAGTAGTTATGTTACATGTAAAACCAACTCACAACATGAATCAATTTAAAACTACAACTAATACAAGCAACTGCAATTTTGCCTGAAACTTTTTTTCAAATAAATAATGTGCTTGTATGTACTTGCGCGCGTCGAGGTCCACTGCGTTCCACATAACGCAGGAGTCATCGGTCAGGATGATGAAGGGCCAGACGTCGCCGGCTGGGCCCCCTCCCTCCAAACGCCGACTGCGCTCCAACTCCAAGTTGTGATACGAAAGCTCTTTTATCAGGAAGTGAGCAGCACCTAGAGACAGACGTCATGAAGGTGGTGCACTATGAGAAAAACAGCTTATACTGACTTTTGACTACTGTATGTGTCAGTGTATACGTTAAGAAGTCTCACATATATGTAATTATAAAGCAGTAAATACCTATTCCAGCTCCGTTGAAGACAGTGGGCAGAACCAGCATGATGTGGTTGGGCCAGTACTTTTTATACACGGCCATCTCATATTCTTTGACTACCAGGATATGTAGATGTGAGGCTCCATCCATAGCATGGTACAGGTTAAACAGACCATGCTCATGACGACCGGTGGTGGGGGTGAAGATTGGACTTTTGATGCAATCCGGGCTCTAGATAGGGGGGAAACATTTAATTGAAAGATCAAAATATCATGACATCATATTCTAGGATATCATTATTGTGATTAGAGACATTTTAGTCACACTTAAAAAAAATACTATATTTACAAAACACCCTCTCAACCCAAAGTCAGCTGTGCACAAATCTGCATGAAAACAAATAGGGACCAGGGTACCACAATGTTCCCTAAAGCAGGGGTTCCCAAACTTTTCAGCCCGCGACCCCCCAAAATAACAGTGCCAGAGACTGGCGACCCCTGTCAACACTCGCGGGAATTCCACTTTTGATTGCATGATATAGCCCTGCGCAACACCTTCGTCACACATGTTGCTACTTGTTTGTACCATTTTCAGGCGATTTGTAATCTGTTCTAGAAAAACGATGTGTTTTTTAGGATTTCAAGAAGCTTATAGAACAAATCAATTATAATGGATGTATTTTATGAATAAATGTAGTCTACATTTCATAAGAGGTGTAAAACCTGAGAGCTTTTTAAATTGCATTTGAATTAAATGCTTATATAAACTGTAGTTGTATTTGTATTGTTGATTTATTGTGTGAACGAGGCGATATAGAGAAGGTTAAGCTGTCATTATTAGGCTGTTATGTACTGTTGGAGTGGTAAGCAGGCCTATTGTTTTTGGATATTTTTGGAGTTAGGTGGTCCCCGAGTGGGGGTCGCGAGATGATTACAAAATAAAAATAGAAATTATTTTTATATAATATCCCCACTTTGGGAACCCCTGCCCTAATGGATGGTGTCAGCCATATTCAGGCCTGTAGCACCATCTAGTGGCGTCTAAGGGTGTTGCACTGTGCCCCACCCAGCAAACCACCACCAATAGTGATGTGTTTTTTTTAAGTGTGTACCTGGAAGAGTTTAAGTGAAATAAAAACACTGATAATGTTTCTAAGCAGGAAAATAATTTGGTATATCATCATTGTTCTTTTGCAATCTAAGAGAGGCTGAATGGGTGGTACATATCTAATTTAGTTTTTAATTATTTGTATAATATCTTGACATGTTACATAATATTTTTGCAAATATACTGTCAGGGTGAATCTGAGCCTCTTGAGCTACATATATCCTCAAGTATAGTAGTGATTTTCAGCCTAAAATGCCAGTAGACTCCATCATATGTGTTTGCAGGGTTAATACCACAACTTCAAAATGTGTCTGTCCAAAACCAACAATCTAATATCACACACACGTAATGCAGCAATTCTAGCTATGTGAGGTTTAGAAAAATAAATCTGGGTTTTAGCTACTTATGAGCCAGTTTTTTTTTGTTTCACTAAGGAAGGACTTACCCAATCGGAGGTGAGCGGCAGCCGCATGCTCTCCAGCTGGCCTCCTGATTGGCTGAAGCTGAAGTAGTGCTCTTTAGACTTGGGGATGATGAAGTACAGCTGGATCTCTTCCCCAAGTAGAAGATGGGTGAATGTGAAGGCATGCAGTGTGGACTCATACATCTGAATATAAAGTAATAGAGGACATACATTATCAGCTGAGTCATTGAGATTTCAAAAGCAGTGTGTGATGTCAGTTATCAGATCGTGTGTTCTGCTGACCTGGTATCTGGGGTTGATGCCCAGGTACTGATGACACTGTTCACAGTGATGGTATGTGTTGTAGGCCGCATATTTAGACAGCTTGATCCTGGATGTCCTCCTACGTAGGTAAACATCTTCCTGGCGGACAGGGTTTCCTTGGAAAGACAACAGGGGCAAAGACAGATAAGGACAATAGCACAACATACATGTAGGGTCTTAGCCGCAGGGCCGTCCCTGGCCAACTTGGGGCCCCAAGCGACATTGTGAGATGAGCCCCCCCCCCCCCCCCCCACCGACAGGAGTTTTTTTTGGAAACAAAGTACTTTGCAAATATAATTCCTGTTTAATATTATTATCAACAGTTACTTTTTTATACAGTGAGGTAAATGGTAAATGTATGTCGTTCAGTATGCGTTAACAGGTGAATACGTCTGCATTTCCTGCCAAATACTAGCCTCAAAAAGATTAAAATATAATGAATGCAAATAAACTACTTCTACAAATAATAATAATAATAATAATCATAATCAATTCAATAATATAAATACTGTATTTTATTATAATATAGTTGTAATATAGTCAAGACAAAACATGCTTATTACATGCTCAAAAACTGATATTTCTTAAATCTGTATTCAAATGTAGTTCCCTCTGTCAGCAATGTATCAACTACACACACATTTCTATCAGTATTTCTCTGTGTTGTGGTTGACATGATGATGACTGTTAGAAGTTAAGGGGAGAGGCTGAGCATCACCATGAAATGTGCAAATTGACATAAAAATGAATAAAAGTGGAAAAAATGCTCCATGTTTTAAGCCAACTAGACGGAGAACTGCGCACAAGCCTAGCTCATAAGCCGAGGCCCCATGCAGCCTGCATGATCGGCCTGTAGGGAGGGACGGCCCTGGTCTTAGGATTTGTATTTATAAGTAAGACATTAGAGAACATCAATGTTTTTTAAATATAGTTTAATTGTGTGAGAATATATTGTATTGTGTGTTTGTGTGTATGTTCTGACTGTGCCTACCATCAGCACTTGATTTATATCCAGGGCAGTAGACAGAGCTGATTTCCTCATATTTGGGGTCATGGATGGTGTAGTCAAAGGGCATCGTCTTCACAATGTCTGGGTTGGGCCAGGAAACATTGGATGGGTGGTACAGCACCTCCTCAGCCTGACAGCCTTTATAAACACGTTTAAAATGGTATGCATTACATTTGGAGTTTACAGCATGAGGAGACTTCAATATAAGCATATATTCTGAAGACAAATTGACAAAATCCTCAATATACGATCATATGATTTAGCGGCAACAATAGTGAGACACTGAAAATTAGAAAATAACTTGAACATAATGAAAATTAAGGTAGATTGGATAGCCAGAGAAACAGTGGCAACTGCAAAAAATATACTCACTGTAGTTGATGTCTTCTTCATCGTAGATATCCACCTCCATCAACCTGATCAGCATCCGGGACAGAATACCCAGGAAGTGCAGGTACGCTCCTGTCTTACCCACCTGACGATGACAAGAGAAATGTAAACAAACAGACTATCATGAGCTTGAGTTTGAATAAAAAAAGAAATGAAGACAATAAGAACCTGTGGAGGTCCACTGAGCAGCAGCCTGCGAGGATGAAAGTTGTCGCTTCGACCTTCAGTGCGGTTGCTGCTGTCCATGTGGTAGGAGCGAGGGACCGTCCACTGGCGATAGTACAGTGACTGCTCTGTACATGTCATCATCTTACTCAGCAAGGGCCTGCACACAAAATATTTCGTAATGAATTTCCTCTGAGGTATCATCTGATTTTTCCGTGACACATAATAATAGGTGAAAGGTCTGGAAGTACCAATCTGTGTTTCAATCTGTGTTTCAGTCTGGTAGTAATAAAATAAAACAGGATCACAGTAACGGCCCGTCCACACTACAGCGTCGACAGCTTCAATCTGCCCATTCACTTTGAATGGGGTGACGTCACGTTGCCGCTTTTTTTGGCCGAACTGAATTGTGGGTAGCATAGCGGTCCGTCTCCACCGTCTCCGGCGTCAGAAGTTGAACAATGTTCAACTTCTGACGCCGGAGACGCCGGAGTAGCCAGCGCCAGCCAGCGCCAGCCAGCGCCAGCCAATCAAATCCCGTTTCGGAAAATCTGACAGCTCAAGCCGTAGCCAATCAAACCGCGTCTAAGCTGGGAGAGATATCCCGCCGTTCATTTCTATATTTCAAAAAAAGATGGAGTAGAAACTAATTATCGCCGTAGCAAATCACCCGGTTTTGTATGACCAGACCCTCTTCACCTACCCGGATACAAACCGGAGGAACCAGGCATGGAGGGAGGTGGCAGAGACAGTGGGTGAAACTGGTAGGTTTTCGCCTGTTTGGGGAGTTTATGTATATATTGCTCCCATAAAATCCCTGGGGGTTTTTGCTTTGTATGTCGGGGGCGGGAGATTCATGTGATTGGTTGTTGGTCGCGTTGCTTGAATAAAATCCCCAAGCTTCAGACACGCCCAGCTCCAAGCTTTTTTTGAAGCTGTAGTGTGGACGCTCCGTAACGGGCCGTCCACACTACAGCTTCGACAGCTTCAAAAACGGTTTCCAACGCGTCTGCCCATTCACTTTGAATGGGGTGACGTCACGTTGCCTCGCTTTTCACCGAACTGAATTGTGGGTAGCATAGCGGTCCGTCTCCGGCGTTTCCGGAGTAGCCAGCGCCAGCCAATCAAATCCCGTTTCTGAAAATCTGACAGCTCAAGCCCTAGCCAATCAAACCGCGTCTAAGCTGGGAGAGATATCCCGCCGTTCATTTCTATATTTCAAAAAAAGATGGAGGAGAAACTAATTATCGCCGTAGCAAATCACCCGGTTTTGTATGACCAGACCCTCTTCACCTACCGGGAAGCCGGAAGAACCAGTCATGGAGGGAGGTGGCCGAGGTGGCAGAGACAGTGGGTGAAACTGGTAGGTTTTCGCCTGTTTGGGGAGTTTATATATATATATATATTGCTCGCATAAAATCCCCGGGGTTTTTTGCTTTGTATGTCGGGGGCGGGAGATTCATGTGATTGGTTGTTGATCGTGTTGCTCGAATAAAATCCCCAAGCTTCAGACACGCCCAGCTCCAAGCTTTTTTTGAAGCTGTAGTGTGGACGCTCCGTAACACAGCAAATCAACTCAGGCGTACTGTTCAGACTTTTTTACCCTCACAGAATTTTAATTCGAAACATTATTTCACAATGAGCCAATTTACTTTATCTTAAACAGTAAGATGAACATGTGTTGGTCTGCCGGAATTACGAAAAATCAACAATTTCTGATTGCTACACGCCAGTGGCTGATAAATGGTGAGCTTTTATATCTTTATATCACACTGTATGTATTGTTGTGTTTCACTTTTACCTGAAGCTGCTTGCCCATGCGACAGACATGTGCGGCAGGAATGATGTACATCGGGGAAGCCCGCTGCTGTCACTGGCTGTGATAATATCGTAGAGGGCCCGAGGGAGGAGCACAGAGGGCGGGCGACTCACACCTCGCGCCCAGGAGCAGCTCAGGTGAGGAGAGGAGGCTTGCGGAGACAAGGAGCCAGAGGAGGTGGATTTGGAGTTTTGGCGACGTGACTGAGCAGAGGGAGGGGGTTGAGGGTTGGGTATTTGCATTTGGGAGTGGGGCTGGGAAAGTGTTTGAGTGTGGGGTTGGGAATTTGTTTGTGCCTGGGAAAAACTCTGCACTTGAGGTTGGTGCAATGGAGTTGGAGGATAGGGAAAAGATTGAGAGGGCTGAGGTTGGAGTTGAGTCTGTGATTTTGAGGGAGGTTGAATGGTGTCTGTTGTCCCTTTCTGGACATTTGGAGAGGTGGTGCTTTGCGCAGGGAAGGGATCTGAAGCTCCGCCCTCTGGACATGACTGGAGCTGCTGGCTGCTGGACAGAGGGGAGTCCCCTGGAAACATAAGGAACGGAGTAAGTAGAAAATAATAAGTTGTGAGTGAACACACATTTTTTACATCTCACACTATAGTTCATTGTATCTCACCATTCTCTTGTCCTTCCTCCTCCTCATTGTCAGTACTGCTGAGTTTCTCTGCGTCACTCTCCAGCAGGTCACTTCCTGGTCCGGGGTTGTGTGGGGGTCGAGACTCTGCTCTCACTAGATAAGCAGCCAGACCTAGCTCTTGTTCCAGTGTGGTTCGCTGAAGGTAGGAGCAGCTTATCACTCTGAGATCACAGTACTTCAATGACCTGAGGGCAGAATAAATTCACTGTTTAAACTCCAGATTATATTTACCTCACCGTCTCTGGCTTACCTGGAAGAACACTTAGAGGAGATTTCATTATTCTCAGGTTTGCTTAAAATAAAACCTGATTTATTTACATAAAGTTAACATTTCCCAATGGAAAATGTTGGGAAGATTCGGTTGAGGTTTCTCATCAAAGTCATGGAGTTAGGATTAGAGCTTTTGGTGTGTACCTTGGCATAGATTCCCCCTGGGGCTCGGCTCCTGATAGGATCAGGATGCAGGGAAGGGCCTCCAGCTCCAGGTAGGTCTGAGGAACCCAGTCAGCATCCTGGATCTTTAGCCAGGTCTAAAGGACAGATAATATGCAATTTTCACAGTCATTCAGTGTAAGTGTAATTCTCTACGCGTAGTATTTATCCTGTATCTCATGATATTATGACCCACTATCCCACCTTGATCTGATCAGTGAAGCTCTGTCCAATACTCAGAGCCTGGTTTGGATTCCCCAGTATGATTTCAAAAGTGTCCTCCAGACCCAGCTGCCTCCTCACTCTGGAGAGCCGCCGGTGGGCCCATGCTGCCAGAGACTGAGAGGGGATCCGCAGCAGGACCATGTGCCCATGGTGGGTGGGACATTGCTGGGCCGCAGTGAGCAGTGATTGTACAATCTCTAGGGTCTCCACTGATGTGTGTTTGTGGAGATTGTGGGAGCTGCCGATTTTGCCGGATGCAGCCATCAGAGCCACACAGTAGTGTTGGATCAAAACTGTGGTCCGGATCACAGAGCTGTGCAATTTAGGAAACCTGGGACAAAGAGACATTTTAACGGCTTTTACGCTTTTGTGTAGGCATTCAAGTTATTCAGACTTGCTTATGAATAATAGGGTGTTTGTGTTGATTAAATATGTGTTTGTTTTACCTTTCTTCCAGAGCAGATGCCATGCTTTCAAAGGATGAATCATAACGCATCAGAGGCAGACTGCTCCCTGAGCGGGTCGACTCTAAAAGCTCCGACACACCAAAGTAGCGCGTCTTCTCATGATACAGGTCCACATCCTACACAAAATCACACAATGTAACACATGAAAACTCGCAACCAACGTGCAGATATGTGCCACAATTGTGCGTTTGTATCACACAGAGAATTCAGTCTTACATTACTGAATGCAGAAGGCCAGTGGATCTCATTGTAGGGACTGATGCGGGTATACTGTGTCTGCAGAGCGAAGGGGAAGGAGGTGACGTGGAGAATCAGGATGTTTGGAGCATCTCTGACCTGACGGGAGTTTAACAGCTGATCCACCAGACCCAGTCCACTATCTGAGTTACTGTGGGAAGAACAGAATGAGAGAAAGAGACAGAGAGAGAAAAGGAGAAAATGCACTTTACTGCTTTGTTGATGCTCTTGTTGTACCAGGTTGTCACACACACACACACACACACACACACACACACACACACACACACACACACACACACACACACACACACGCACACACACACACACACACACACACACACACACACACACACACACACACACACACACACACACACACACACACACACACACACACCTGTTAATGTCCCAGTGGGCGTGGTCATGGACCAGGATGTAGAGTGTGTAGGAGTTGCTTTGTGCTTCCTGGATGAGGTTTTCAATTCGTGCCTGAGCGTTCTGGTCCATCTTGACCACATATCGCTCAGCCTCCCGTTGAGACACACACTCCTGGTCTAAACCCCCCAGCTCCTGAAGGACACCTGAGATAAGCAGCCAAAGAAAATAGGATCAACATAAAAACACACTATTTAAAAGACAACAAATGATTGGAAAAATACTGCTATGGAATAAAGAGCTATGTCACCAACCAGAGCTCCAGAGGTGGAAAACAGTTTGCTGAAATGTGACCTCAGAGGGCGGGACCAGGATGAGGAAGCTGACCCGGTCGAAGGAGCCAAGATCCAGGTTCTGTGTGCTGGAGTCTGCTATGGCACAGACATGGGACAGCAGCTTTCTGGCCACCGCCAGCTGGATGGGACGAACCTCACGCCACTTTACGGAGTATTCTACACACAGACACAAATTCATGTCATCATATTCAATCAAATATGTATATTAAATATATTGATAGTAACAACTGTGCAAAATGAGAATGGGACACAACAATATACATGAAGATATCATCTGTGACTATTCTTCCATATTTTCTATTGAATAAAAATGAATTCCAAGGAAGAGTTGCATCAGCAATTTGACAAAAGGCAAAACAAAGAAAAATACAGGTAAGACTAAACCAAATGGTGTTTAATAAAAAAAAAATGAAATCGTTTGGATTACAGTTGTGGAAAAACCTTCTTAGAGTCTTGTCAACCTTTCTGTGTCTCACCTGAACAGGTGTCTTTGGGACTTGAAGCTCTCCCTTTAGGGCTGGGTGAGTCTTTTGAATTCTTTGGACTGGGTGTGTCTTTGGGACTGTGTGTAGTTTTAAGACTCTTCTCTTCAGCTGAGTCCAAACAACTGGATAAGGGAGAGGGCTCGTTGCTGTCTAAGGTGGCACTATCCAGCAGGGAATCCAAATCACCGTCTGAGAAACACAAAGGCACACCTCAGGTTTATGAATCGTGCCAAAAAAAACCTGAATATACAGAGAAATGTGATTATAAAAAACTAAGACACACCCTGTCCGAGAGAATTGCAGTAGTGGATGAGTTCCTGGGCAGCACCAAGGGAGAGCTGGTGGTTTATTTCTTTAAGACCCTCATTGGGAGAGTACATACTCTCTGCCAAGGCACGACACTGGTGTTTACCTGCAACACACACAAAGGCAATACAATAAAAGTCTGCTTATTATTTCTGTTTAATGCTCTGGTCAATTTAACAACATTTACATGCATACAAAAACAAAACTCCCACCTGTGACGACCACACAGGACTGAGTTTCCTGTCCCGGTACAGTGACGATAATGGCCACGTAGTTGGTGTTTTCAAGACGTCCTTCCATCAACCTGCTGACTGTTTGCTGAAGTCCTTGAGCCAAAGAACCAATCTTCTCCCCTAAAACCACCACGCCCTCTCCACAAGACGACGCAGCCAGCTGGGCCAGCCAAGGAAGCTGACTGGGGGTCAAAGGTTGTTGGCTCTGGGGAAGTAGGGACAGATGCTGGGGGAGCCCAGGCAGGATGGAAGAGGTCTGGAGGCAGAGTAGAGAAGAATTAAGCTATGTTTTTTTTTGTAATATATATTTTATTGACATTTGGCAGCAAACAATTACACAGTGTTTTTTCAAGACACAGACATCTTAAGTTTGTCTGTCCGAAATGCCTTTTTTACACAAAGATAAAATAAAAACAGTAAAAAGTACGAACAATACGAACATTAGGGAGTGATCAGGACTTCACAGTAAAATCATACGTTTGTAAAAATAAAATCTGGCCTATGAGGTTTTATGAAATCAGTCCACTTTCTCCATCGTGACACAAATAGTTGAATTTAACTATGTTTTAATACACATGTGCGGTTACCCAACAATGACTAATTTGTTGTTTGATGTCATTTGCCTTTTAGTATTATTTAAGGATGTTGCCTCATTTATGTGACAAATGTTATGCTCCTGTCTTTGCCAGGACTCGCTTGTAAAATAGATTCTAAATGTATTATTATAATATACAGGGAATATTCCTGCTAAAATATTGGTAAAAACTTTACTTAAAAACGATATTCTTTCTATATGATATCATATGTAATGTAACATTTGATAATGGGACAGTCTCAGACGTCTGACCTCTATGCCGTAGTGCCTCCCTTGGCTGGCCGGTGTTTGAGGCTGCTGGTACTGTCTGATCTCGCTGAGGTGAGACTCCCTCCATGACCTCATGAATATCTGCTCCAAGTCCTCTATCAGGGGCACCTGGTCAGGACCTGGGATGAATACATGTGGTGGACAACAATGCAAAATACATTAGAGAATTTAATTAAAATTCTAGTTTGGTGATAAACAAAAGAAGGTCATAATATTGATTCATTGTTAAAAACCTGCCTCCTAGTGGCCATTATTAAAACAGATATTATGAAGGGTCAATCTTCTGCCTGCTCTTTGGATTCAAGGATTCAAGGCTTTCATTATCATACGTACATAGCTACAGTGTACCGGTAGTTATGACAATGTAATTCTTAGGTCACAGGCTCCTCCAACAGTGCAACACATTCAAACTGATAGTGCAAGTAAATAAAAAGTAAACAAACACTGAAATCAAGTGAAAACATGGCAGAGTTGGAGAGGAGCAAAAGACACGGCAGCCCTCATCACCGGCGCCATCTTATGTGAAATGTGTATCTTTAAAGCCTTTCTTCTACAATAAGGTTTTACACTGACCTAGCTGAACAAGGTAGTAGACTGTGAGAAGAATCTGCATCTCTGTTGACAATGGCTGAATGGGTGATGGTCCGTAGTGCTGGTAGACTCTGGGGAGTGTCTGGGAGCTCAGGTAACAGCTCTGGAGCAGAGAACTGAGGAGTACTTCACTGATGTTTCCAGTCAGATGAGGCAGAGAGCCATGCCCTGTATCAATGAGACGGATGAACAAAGTGAGGAGGCTGGAAATAACTTGGACTCAGGTGGTGGATTTGACAATACACGTTAGCCGATCAAATTCACTTCTTTATGCGTGGTAATGTTTCTTCCGGAATAACTTGTTCCTAAACATGACAATAGATAGCCAAAAAAACACAATGCAGACATCTTCATGGGTCAATTACACCTACGATTCTCTTTTATGATAAGAAAAGACTCTAAACATTTGTATGATTTGCTATATTAGATTTTGAATTGCTTTGTATTTCTATCAGTTACTTAAAAAAGTCTTGCAATGAACCCAAGTGGAGAACAGTTGTTGTACAGGATTGAGTCGTGGGAAAATGCAGTTCTATCTAATCCCAAGGGACACAGTGGGGTAATAGTAGGGATAGGAATATATAATGGGAGGCACAAAGGGAACTTAAGTGGAACTGACAAGTTTGTTGCTTGGAGAGGTGAAGGGCAGATAGGTGATGAATACAAAAACAGAAACAAACCACTGGGTATAGGTGGTGGTTTGGAGCAGAGAAGATGGAGAGGATGATGAGTTGACAGGTGATACAAAGAGGGGAAAAGGTTGGAGGGCGGGCACATAGACTGAGGAAAGGCCTCAGGAGTTGGCTGACCTCTAACCTGTGAGGAGAGTCACCCTAACCTGACCATCTGTTGGGCAAAGACCTGAAAACATGTTGACCTGCTTGAGAAAGTCCAGTACTTAGAGCTGGTTGTCAAATGATCACCAAACACCAGCTGGTCATGAATGACTGATTTGTGAGTCAACTCTGTCACAAGTACAAATAAACTTGTGTAGAGAAAGTGCATTTTATCATCCAATATCAGTGATAAAGTTGCTGATCTGACCTTTGAAGATGACAGGTTGCAGTCTGCAGGTGTGCAGCAGCTGATCAGGGATTGTTACTGCCAGCCCTGGTGGAGAAAGTAGGGTCAAGGAAGCCTGCGAGGAACTCAGCGGGGCTGCAGTCTCTGGAGAAAAAAGTACATGTACCTTTAAAAAAAGACCCACTCAAACGTCATTTCTGTTTATATGCCAAATGTCTCTTCTATTATTTTACCTGATCTGGCTCCATTTGTGAGGAGAGAGGACATGGATGATGCTGCTGAGGCTGATGAAGATGGTGGGGTCTTCACAGCGCTCTCCGTCACACTGTTGGCAGAGGACTCAGGCGACCAGCCCTTATGCCTCTTTTTTGGAGGACCAGCGTTTGCATGGGACCCTGCAGAATAGAGAAAAATATCAGTGAGCACATTGGCTTAAATGTTTGTACGTTTAATGATAACAACATACTAACGGATTATTTCCCCCCATTTTTTTTAATTCAACTTTAAAACATACATTTTTTTATTTTAATAATTGTTTTAGATGTTCCTATTACAGTTTGTACTCTTTTTTCCTAAGCAAAGGGATATTTTTGCAGTTCCTGCTTTATATTAGTCTCTGCAATTTCATTTTAGGAGTTTTATTTTTTTCCCGCTCTTTCTCAGTGACACACTTTCTACAAAACAGTTTACTGTAAGAATGATTTCCTGTAGAGCAGAGGAGTCACCTTTCTTATTCTAATAACCCATAAATCAACTGAATAAACACTAAATGATGTTTTAGGGTAGGCTTCTGTGGATACAGTAATGCAGTTGTATTTTAGTCATACATTAACCTGTCTCTTCCTCTTCCTGTCAAACTCTGTTGAAATGCAGTAATAGGCAGACACATAAAAGCTCCAATTGTTAAAAGGGTCATGAAAAAAACAACGTTGACAGGAAGGAAGCTTTTCATTCAGCGGGAAAGCTAAGAAATAGAAGAGACAGAGAGGGAATTTTATAACCCTGTTTAATAGAGGTGACAGACAGAGGGAGAGGGAGGGAGAGCCGGAGAGACAAAGGACAACCCCCCACACACACTGCAGCTGCCTGGCCCTGTAATGCAGAGTTTTACAACACACACACACACACACACACACACACACACACACACACACACACACACACACGCCGCGCACACACACACACGCCGCGCACACACGCCGCGCACACACACACACACACACACACACACACACACACACACACACACACACACACACACACACACACACAAACAGATAGTGTTCCCTCTCAGAGGTGTGAAGAAATCAAGGGGAGGGGCTTAATGACAACAGACCATGTTTACACGTAGTCAGATAATATGGTTAGTTAGTTAGTTAGTTTTCAGATTTCTTCAATAAGCTCTTTAGTTTTGGCATATTTAAAAAGTGGTTTAACAACAAGTATTTAAACTATTTAATATTTACCCCTGGCTTTATATTTTTGCCATATTTTAAAAAAAAAACACAATATGAAAAGTTGTGTTTTTCTCAAAGGGATTATTTCAGGAATCAAGATGAAATAAAGATTATATAACCTCAAAACCCACACTAACATTAATTGTAAATTCAAAGTATTAACACTGCGTGTTCATAACACCATTCTGATAAATACATTGTTATCATAACAAAAAGCATCTAAATGTTTTAAAATACATACATACACACAAACACATCCTTTTGGATTAAAGCAGAGGTATAGCTGTGCACCATGTGTACCTGTAGCTGAGGGTCTCCCAGGTCCCGACTGATTTAAAGATGGCTGGGGCGACGGAGGGAGCAACATGGATGCCATTTGTCAGCGGGTGGGGGGCATCAGCTACTTGTGGCAGATTAACCGGGTCCGAATTTGATCCTGCTGTGTACACATAGAAGAAAATGTTTAAAAAACATGAATTATTATGACTTTTCATAAAAAATAGCCATCTGCTAGTTTAATCAAGAAAGGGTGTCTGTCAAAAAGATTTGCCATATTTATTCAATGATCTCATAGTCCAACTAGAGACTTCAGGCTGGAACAACAAATTATTATTTTCATTATCAATTAATTTGCTATCGAGGTCAATTATTTGTCAATAATGTCAGAAAATAGTGAACCATTTCTATCCCAGAGAAGCATGGTTCCTCTCCACATGGTGTGTGTGTGTGTTACCTGTGTAGCCACCAGGTGTGTGTAAAGGGAGTGTAGGTGCCGTGTTTGGTGGCGGTTCATCTGATGCAACATGGCCTTCTGGGAGAATGGACACCGTCTGTCTCATCCTGCCATCTAAAACACACACAGACACACAATTTGAGTAAATGTATATGACGAGACAGACAGAGACATTTCCGGAGGTAGTTTGGCACATTAACTTATTTGTGGCACAAGTGTGTCTGGAAATACTTATGTATATAATCCTCCCTTTCTCCTATTTCATACCCCTTTCCTGAAAAAAGCCAGGAAAAGGGTCACTTTGTGAGGAATGAGACCAACATGTTCCACTGACAGTGAACACGCAATGTGTTAAACTCGTGTATGTCTCTGCTCTGCTATCACAAACATTTAGATCAACCTGTTTAGTTTGATTAATGATAACTGTAGTGCTACAGTAAGCTCTTATGGACACAGAGTAAGCAGAGTTCCCCATTGCTGCATAGCAACAGACTTGTTTTTCTCAGAAACACGTTGCATAATCTCCTTAATATCAGAACCCCTTCACGCTTTGAAAAGATGATCCAAAGAGCTTACTGGCAATAACATGTACTTTCATTGTCAACACAGATACACCAAACATCTTTCTCCGATAAAGAGGACTACATTTGTATTTCCCTCTGCAATAACAGGAGAAATAATTAAGAACCAATTGGAAACAACATGGTAATGTTAGAAGATTCACATGATTAGTGTGCATTTTACAGAAATGTTTACAAGGCTGTGTCTATAAAAGCATTTTAATGTGATGGGTGACCTCTAGGCTGTGGCCTCTGTGTCACCTTTCACCTGTCCTCAAGGCTTTACTAGCTGTCCATCTGGTCAGACCCATACACACATTGTTTTCCCATCCCAATACAAATCAGATTTTTAGACTTTCATGTTACAATGCTAGACCTAAATATAAATACTTTTAATGTAATTCATTGATCAAGCTTTGGCTTTAAGTTCCCACCCATGTTACCAATGTTTTTCCTCACTTGCTTAAGTTCAATAAAGAACCATTGCAGAAGAGATGCACTAATGGCCACTGCTTTTTATCTAATCATCTAAATCAAATCCTAAGAATGTCCAAATTTGGCGGGATAAAATGAATCCAGTTGCCAAATAAAACACAGTATCCATCTCTCACCGTGTCCCCTCCAGCAGATGGGAGCTCCTTTCACCAGCACGCCCTGGTTGTTCCTGTACAGATGGTGCTTCAAGTGCTTCTGTTTCTTGGGCTGGGTGCTGAGCTTCAGGTTAATGTGGTTGGAGAACTCAGTGAAATAACGAAAGCCTTTCTCACCGCAGCCCATACAGTTTCCTAAGAAGCCTGGAAGGTGAACACATGCGAAATGTAATGTTTTCAACAGGCTGCATTATATGTTTCTACAGTTGTACATCTAGCAATCTTGGTCCTGTAAAAAATGCATTGTCCACTACTTTAAAGGAATAGTGCACCATTAGTTTTAGGAGTGATAGTATGTTTTGAATCTGGAGAGTCTGGGTTGCTGTTTCCCTATGTCTTAGGACTTGTTGCTAAGGTTGTCCCATCTCCTCTGTATTTGAACCACAGACCCAAGATGGATTATCTTAGTAAAGCTATTTACTAAAAATGTTGAACAAAAAGGAGTCCTAAAGGTTGACATTGTGACTTTTTATCAAACAGTGTTTCTCTGCGAGTCTCCTGCCTCACCTAGCAGTGCGTTGTGACCCCGTTCGTCTGGAAGGAAGCGGCGGTCCACGGCACACACCAGCAGGGTCTCCGGGAGGGAGGGGGACTTCACACCCACCAACATGAACCCAGCGGACACATCCAAGGGATCTGATGCCAGTGAGGACAGACGCAGGTCCCGGCCAGCCTGACAGAAGCCTGTGGGAAGGAAAAGACAGGTATTTGGTAACTTTTGGTAACTTTTCTTTTAAGATGACTTTATCTTATTACATTACATGTTACTTGTTAGACGCTTTTATCCAAAGCGACTTACATACTCAATACTGTGGGCAATCCCCAAAGGAGCTGTTTGGGGTGAAGTGTCTTGCCCAGGGACACAACGACATGCTGACTGCATTGGGGTTTGAACCTGTGACCCCCTGATCCCAACACCAACGCACAACCCACTGCACCACACACTTCTTATTGTACATCAAGTAAGACGAGCAATGATATGCACGATGCAGACTGCTACTTTTCTGCTTCTATTGTCTCCTGGTGCATATAGTAACTGTAATGAAGTGCAGTAAGCAATGTGCATGATGTTTTCTTAGATCTTGTGTGTGTGTGTGTACAAACCATCTGTTGTGCAACATCCTTCAGGTGGGGTCTTCATCTGATAGGGTAGTGGAGGACTGTTAGACTCAGAGCCATCTTCATCGTCGTCATCGTCATTCTCTGTACGACCTATTGGAATACACAAACAAATATTCATATTTTAATGATAAACAAGTGGATAAAGATTTAAGGAAATACACTATTTTGTTGAACATGTTATCCACACCTTCTCTTTTGCATCGCTGCAACCCACCATTATGTGTCAATGGCTGCTCTGTCTCGAGGTAAAGCTGTGAGAACACAGGTCGGGCCACCACGGTGTTGGATCTCAGCGATGCCTCAATGGAGTTATGGAGGACTTCCTCAAAGCGCGTGGTCCGCAGCTGGCCTGCATAGGAGTTCCCCATTGGTGTCCTGAAAAAAATATTCTGTTAACTTTGACCGGAGTATTTGACAGCAATTACGTTGCATTGACTATTGAACAAGAGCTCAATGCGGTAAGTGTCTAATGAACTTTACAACAGTCAACCTTTCAAACCTTCAGGTATTCAAAGTATAGACTAACCAGCCCTTAGATTTACTGCATGATTTTGTATTTAAGTAGTTTCAGTTTGAGAAAGAAACAAGAAAAACTGAATAAATATCAGTCATATCTGACTAACTATGTCCTCTTAAGAAAGAAACAATAATGAAATACACTCTGACAACTAAAGGATGCTGTTGGTCATAATAGTAAACACAAAGAAAATGAAATATTGAAAGTTTAAGCCCTCTGACAGAAGAAGAACACATGTACTGCTTTATATTGTCAAGTCTAAGCCTCACACACACACCACGCACACACGCACACACACACACACACACACACACACACACACACACACCACACACACACACACACACACACACACTATGCACTGATGAATAGACGCACACATTGAAATCCAGTGAAAGCACATCTCTTTCACATCTCTGGCACAGTAACACACACAGGCCCGCACACACACATTGAGAGTGGATGGCATCTGTCCAGACAGCATGCCATAAAATCAGCTGCTCTGACAGAGTCAGGACACCCTGACCTAGACGCTGCACACTGTTTTTCTCTCTCTCACTAAGCATCTCTCTGATTTTCTCTCTGGTTCGCCTCTCCTCTGCTCTCCAACACAAGAGGAACATGCCAAAAATCAATTATTTGAAGTAAAATGTGAAAATGTGCCCTGAAAACTGTTGCAGTTCAACATGAAAAAATGAATACATTTGCTCTAAATAATTAGATTTATTGTTTTAGTCAATGTGTTCAGGTTTTTGTAGTTTTACATTTTCATTGTTCTTAAAATGTGTGTCTGAGGCTTTTGAAAAAAAAACTATTTAGAAGACTTAAAGGAGTGCTGTTCAAATGTTTTTCAATGTGTCATGAAAGCAACCGCCCTACAGATTATATTTGAATAACAATGTGTTAGCAGTAACGCATGTCAATGCTGCAATAATGCCTCATTTTTAATAAGATGCTAAACAAATGTGTAGTAAAAACAGACTAACCCAAAGCGGCATTGAGTGCTAAAAGGACTGGATCAGTGAGGAGGGAAATAACTGGATTGTAAACAGAAAACACCAACTTAATCCCCATCCTCTAAACCAGTGCTTCTCAAACTTTTTTCAGGAATGTACCCCCTTTGAAACATTTTCTCAGCCAAGTACCCCTGACCGAACCCGAACATTTTTGATAGAAAAAGCCTATATAAATAATTACAATATAGTGATGTTCCATCAGTGTGTGATTTATTAACTCCTTCATGTAGGAATTACAACAAACTAAGGATATTTCAACAAGTCCTCCAACTCATACGACCAAATAGGCCGATTGTTCAGGCCCTTATTACGACCAAATATGTTGTTTGTTCAAACGCTTAATACGTCCTTTAATTACGTTTTAAAGTTTCCGCCCTCTAGTGCTCCCGTTGAATACAAACGTTACAGATGGTCGTTTATTCACAAATAACCCTCTCTGGAAAATCCTAAATTGTAGGATAGTTTGGCCATTAAAAACGCTTTTTGATTAGATTTCTAGCAAGAAGTGTATATTGGTACTTTTAGAATCCACGTCCAGTCGATATGTAGGATCTATAGTTTGATAGATATTACGAAGATGATTTGAGTATGCGGCAGCCTCCATGTAAAGTTAACGGGTTGAAAACAGTATTTCCGGTCTTGACGTTTCATAATAAAACCAATGATCAAATTATTTAACAGTGATATCTTCAGTACTCATCACTAAAAAACATCAGTTTAATCCTTGTTAATTATACGACATTTATTGGCTTAATTGGTGTACAATGCTTTTGTGTTTTTCCCATAGGTTTTCTCTTTCGATTCTGAGAGACCCTTTCTTTTGTCAGAGGTTTTGATAGGCTAAAACATCGATTGTTTTAGCCGCAATGCATGTCGGGATATGGTGTTTATGGGATATGAAATCGAAAAACAATAAAAAAAAAAAAAGAATAATAAACTTTATTCCGAGTGTTCTTGCTTTCTTCCTCTTGGAAGTCATCACATAACAGCATTGGTAATACACTGTTTCGGCTGCATTAAATATTACATATCTGCCGTAGAATATTTATTTATAGAGCCCTGATCAGAAGACCTTTTGACAAACTGTAAGAAATGGCCGCCAAAACATGAATACGTGACGTGGACCATAAATATATCAGCCATTAAACAACATCTTCCATTTCTTTTCACACAAATACGTCTCCTTGCAAGTATCAACACTAATTCGGCTGACTTTTATATTTGATCCAATTGGTAGATAGGCTATATTTAAAACCATAAGGGTGCACAGCTGATAGAAAGGGATTTTTTTTGTAGTTTTTAAAGATATAATTTACCCACCTTTCCAACTCCTCATGCAGTTGACTGTTACAGGTCTATACAGGTTCATGGTACAGATGCATAAGCTTCAAATCGAGAGACTGAAACGGTATTTTCCTTTACCGTTCTGTTTTAATTTCACATAAAGTTAATAGTCATATTATGTTTGATATTATTATGTTTTAATCAACTACACCACTGGTTTTTTAACCCGCAACCGCCTAGTGGTTAAAGCACGTTGTTGAATGTTGTTGTTCAATACGTTTTATTTGATGAAAAACATTTAAATATTAAGAGTAGCCTACATACAAAATTGAAAAATATCAAGAAGATACTGTAGTGATCTCTACAATAAACAGTTTAGTGGAGGACGTCCAAAGATATTAACAGGAGGATGTGCAAAACAGACAAACTAATAAGGCTTTATTTAAACACTAAATAAAACTTTAAGTTAAGGTCTTCTTTTGAATAAGAAAAAAAACGTTGGGGGTATCAACAGATAAATATTAAGTCTGACGAAGTACTTAACGTCCAATATATTGCATAGTTTATTTTGGCACTTGACAATCACCTTCCCTGAATTTGACTCTGGTGTAACTAAAGTCTGATTTAAGGGTTGTTATATCAGTAATCAGAATCTGCAAAGTAACTAAAATAAATGTAGTGGAGTAAAAATACCAGGTTAACCTCTGAATTGTAGTGGAGTAGAACAAAGTAGTATGCTGCTGTAACAAAAACATTTCCCAACTTGGGACCCGTCCAATTCCAGTTTTGGAAAGTCTGCCGTGGTTCCATTCCATTCCATTGAGCTGTTTGACACTCAGCGTAACCTTGGCGCACTGCCACTCCAACATCCAATCACAGGGCTTTATGACTAATCACGGGGTTTGTAAAGCAAGACGGATGTTGTAGTCCCAAACGATAGCTGGGGATTCTGGGTAGTGTAGTGTCTTCGGAAACTGTAGTGTCTAAACTCCTAAAAAACAATTTGTTTCTCTGAATCGAAGGTTAAAAACACAAAAGCATTGTACACAATTTAAACCAATCAATATTGTGTAATTAAAACACTGAGGTTTTTTAGTGGATGAGTAATTCAGATATCACTGTGTAATCATTTGACAGTGAGGGCGGGGAATATATCCGGTTATTATTTGAAACTTCGAGACCGGAAAAAACTGTTTTCCAACCGTTTTCCACTTTACGTGGAGAGCTGCATACACTTTATCCTGGCGAGACCTCAGATCAATCTTCGTAATATCTATCAAAACTAATAGATCCTACACATCGACTGGACGTGGATTCTAAGAGTACAATATACACTTCTCGCCAGAAATCGAATCAAAAAGCATTTTAATGGCCAAACTATTACACAATTTAGGATTTTCCAGAGAGGGGTTATTTGTGAATAAACGTCCCTCCGGAGCAATGTTGTTTCTTACACGACCACTAGAGCACCTCTAGTGGTCGTGTAAGAAACAACATACACTTTAAAACGTGTCTCTGGGTCGTAATAAGGGCATGAACAATCGGCCTATAGGCTGGGATCTTTTCATCTTTATGCATGAGACTTTTTTAAAAAACAGATTTTTAAGTAATATATGTTTAACAAACCAATGAACAAAATGATATATTATGCAACAACTAAAAAATACAATACACAAATATTATAATGAATCCACTGTGGTGCCTGATATGCAACTATACCAGCCGAAACCCCATGCATATACAAGAAAACAGCATTACATTAGCAGTCTCTAATGTAGTGACCACAATGCATGAAAGTGTTAAAAAAAAAAAATACCTGCGTTGTAACTGAAAAAAATGTGCAATTATAAACAAACTATGTAATAACACTACACTGACACTATTTAGGAGTAACAGGTCCTCAGCGATCGTGTACGGCTTTGTGGTTTTAGCGATGAGCAGTGACACCGCATACGATGCCTCCAGTGCTTTGGCTGATGTTGTGGAGGTACTGACTGATAAACTGTGTAGCATGAACTCCTTGACATGCAACCTGAAGGTCATCTTAACGAAAAGACAACATAGTCAGATTACAGACTTAGAGCTGTTTGGGTCTTACATTAGATTTAAGCAGGATCACAGCTTTCCTTTAAAATCAGTCACAATGAAGATTTTCTCTGTTTCATAACATGAGTCTCGGAACCAACATATTTACGGCAAAGACAAAGACAATATCAGTCAAACAAAAGCATTTTGATATGAATTTTAGGCACAGGTTAGATGGACGAGCTACCGTACAAAGCTGCCTGAAGGGATGAATTGCAACTCTTGACAACTATACCTTTCATATTATAGGCTATATTTAATTCAAAAAGTATGTAGCCTTTAACAGCGAGCCAAGTAAGTAATTAACACTGCTAGAAAACCCCAAAAATGGGGCGAAGCCTGCGAGCTAGTTCAGGCAGTCAACTCGAGCACCAATGATACATTAACACGTGACGCACCTCGTCCCTCTTACAAACCAACCAAACACATTCTCCTAAACATGCCGCTCTATTTAAGCTGCCAGCTCTTCCTGCCTCTGCCTCTGCCTCGCTATGC